GAGGCATTATAGTAGAAAATGGGAACAGGTGAGGACCAAGGAGAGGGTGTGACTGGCTCAGGTTGACACATTCTCACCGTGGGACTAAGTACCCCAAACATCTCTATGCATGGGTTTTTGGAGTTAAACAGACTGGGTCCCAGTTCTGGCTTTGCTCTGTTTATCAACTATTTTGCCTCTCTGAGCTTCCGTGTCCCTATTTAAAATACCTCCTCATTGGGCTGTTGTGAGGATTAAATAAGATAAGGTATGTAAAGTCTCTGACGCATCGTTAGCAGTGAGTAATTTGAGGCTATTCTTACTTGGGATGGGCCTCTGTGGGTCTCATTTACCTAGAGTTCAGGGGTGGAGGTACCTTTTAGGGCTTTTCTACCTTTACAACGCCCTGTTACTTCATCCCATGTTTAGGTTTGGTTCTTGATTTTCAAAACATAGCTTCCATCTGAAATGTTTCAACTGGGAAAATGATTTGTTTTTGCCAAATTTCTTCTATCTTATTAGCCTGAAGAAGCTAGCCTATCCTTTTGAGCTGTAAATTGCATTTCAAAGACTGAGTCCCTGGTGTGCTTTAATTAGCTTAAGGACCCAGTTTTCTGCAGCAGTTGTTTTTCTAGCAGGTAAAGGTATAGACACTTACTTGGGAGCCAGACCCTGGTTTTCTTAAACATAGCATATCTAGACTCCCCCCCACCGCCTCCCAGCTCTTCATTGTCCTGGGGGCTTGTCTCATATCAGCCCAAAAGGAAAAATGGAATATAAGGACCCTAGATTTAGAGTCAGAGGACCCATGGGTTTCTTGGTGCTACTACTCATGGCTGTGGCATTCTCTGTTCCTCAGAGTGGGGACATATAAGCTTCGTGCTCACTAAGGTCCCTGCTAATCTGACATTTCAAAAGTCTCTCCCCCTCTCCTGTTTTACCTCCCCTCCTACCACCACCACCAAAAACAGTCCCTCTACTTATCTCTCCTTAGCTCATTGCTAAGCAGGGGGCCTCTGGGGGCTGCAGATACCTTGCTCTCAATTACATAGCTAATCTGTGAGGCAGAGTTTAGCCCAGGGGGGGAATAGCTTATCAAGTTAAGCAACTTCTGCTGAATAGGATGTCAATATTTTCTAGGGCTCCCACGCTAAGCTAGGGGGAAGCCTGAAGAACCAAAAAAGAATTACATGTGAAAGATTGAGTTGGGGATGGTTGGTCTGTGGAGGGTGGTGTTTGGGTCAGAGATCAGAGAAAGTGCCTGGGATCTCAGCCCTCAGTGGCCCCACTTATGGCAGGGCCATCAGCTAGCCCTTCTTACCTCACCTCTATCTCTCTAACATTTATTGAGCACTTACTGTGCCCCAGGCTTTGTCACTCCTGTCTCTAACTTTTGCAAGGCAGAGCTAGAGTATAGATGGAGACCCACGTACCATATGTCTAAATATTTGAAAGTTATAAGTAAAGCTAACAAATTTGTTTTCTTCCTAACAACCTGGAAGACCGTGTCTGGATTTAGAATTTTTGACTCTTTGGGATTCTGCACCTGACCCGAGCAGTTCTGGGAGAATTAGTCTGGGAATGCTTCCTTTCCACTTCCCACCCCCAATTCCATCCCTCCCTAGTAGGAGCTTCATGGACATGAATGTAGACACTTGAGCTTTTCTATGCCCCCATAGAGACTTTATCCCCTTGTACTTGGGGGATACCCACAGCAGTAGCACAGCCTGCCTCCAAGGAATGTGCAGGCCTTGAAAGCGATTGGAGGCTGTGTAGACGGGAAAGTATAGAGGTTGGGTGCCTGGAGCGTGTTTCAGGTGGACATTTCTCCTTGGCTCTGCAGATTCCTCACCCAGAACGGCCACATACATATACTTCCCAAGTCTCTTCTCTACAGATCAGAAAACTGACCTTCATGTGACATGGCTTCTGGCTGTCTCTTCTTGGTATCATTCAGAATGTGCTCTAGTCTGACCTTGACCCTCATCTAGAATGGGCCCACAAATGGTAGTGTTAGTAGAACAGAGAAGTTGAACCTAGTCAAAATAGTTATTCGATCTTGTAAAAAGCTTCTCAGCTTGCAAAGTCCTTTTATGTGCACTGTCTAAACCAGGGGTGGGCAAACTTTTTGACTCGAGGGCCACAATGGGTTCTTAAACTGGACCGGAGGGCCAGAACAAAAGCATGGATGGAGTGTTTGTGTGAACTAATATAAATTCAAAGTAAACATCATTACATAAAAGGGTACGGTCTTTTTTTTTTTTTTTTTTAGTTTTATTCATTTCAGACGGGCCGTAGTTTGCCCACGGCTGGTCTAAACCCTAGGTGATTAGAGAAAAGACTAGACAGGGCCAGGGCCGAAGTGAAAGGACTGTGCTTACCAGCCAAGCAGCAAGTACTGATCCCGCTGTCTATCGTACCAAGAGCAGTTGCACAGTGGTGTTAGAGGTCTGAGGAAACCCAGCAACTGTCTTGTCCCAACCCGATCAGTGGCAGAGCCAGCAGTCATCAACAGATCTCTGAACCATAATCCCCCCTCCTCTTTCTATCTCAGTCCACACCCCAGGCCTGGGTGGTCCCCTCCAGCCAAAGCAGGTAGCATCTTCCTGGGCCAAAACTTAATGGTTTTGAGCTGAACCAACCAGGAGAGAGTTATCTGATTACCATGGAGAAGCCCTACAAATTTCTTGTATACCCACAGACAGGCAAAGGAATTAACCTTTGAGTGGCTTGTCATCCAGGTAGGAGAAAAGATGTCAGAGAGAATTATGAGGAATGGGGAATCCAAAGAAAACCACAAATATTGAGCATTTCCTCCTGCATATGGACAGTGTATTGGGTATTTTCATGGGTCTCTGTTGTGTCCCTCACTGCTCAATAAATGTTGATGATTGGATGTAAAGGGAAACTGAGTAACAAACAAGAATCTGTCCCTCCCAGGTCATTTCCAAGGCTGGCACCAGCCCCTTCATCAATAGCAGTGCCCTCTCAGACTTTCTTACTTAGGATGGCACACTTGACCCCACTATATCCTTGGAGCTACTGCAAGCCCATCCTAGGAGCAGGTTCTCCAGAATGCTCTGGTCCCGCCTATGGTTCCCTTGCAAACAATGCCATCTGTTGGTCAGAACATGCCAGCTTCCAGGCTAGGAGCATTGTGGAGAGAATTGTGGACTCTTACCCTGATGGGACAAAGGATGCAGATTTTCCAGCATACACTTAGCTCTTCTCTATTTTACTAAAAAGAAGCCCCCTCTGTCCAAATATATTAGGTAATTAGGTAGGAGTTTACCGTTAGCTTATGCTGGTGAGAATTTTATACATATGGCTTGGGGGTCTTTAGCACCTTTTTTTCTTTTTAGCACCTTCTGAAATAACTCTAGGATGGGGTACTGAGATAGGCATGCTCTAAAAGGGAGTTACACCAACCTATGCCAATGAGCAGAAGACTGAGCCAAGAAGTATAAATGCCAAGGCTTAACATTAGCCCTTTCCTACTGAAATTGAGCTTCCTTTTCCCTTTAACTCTGTAGCTTGTGCCCAGCTGTAACCTATCTATGGAGGGGGTAGCAGAGATATTTATACAGCCCTTTGGGGAAAAAGACATTGCCAGAGTGTAGAGAGCAAAGAGTAGGTACGGCATCATCTCTAGCAAAGAGAACTAAATTTGAATGAGTAAGTATAAAAATAGTTAACTCTTGCCCTGGCCGGCTTGGCTCAGTGGATAGAGCGTTGGCCTGCGGACTGGAGGGTCCCAGGCTGAGGGCACATGCCTGGGTTGCGGGCTCATTCCCCGGTGGGGGGTGTGCAGGAGGCAGCCAATCGATGATTCTCTCTCATCATTGATGTTTCTATCTCTCTCTCCTCCCTTCCTCTCTGAAATCAATAAAGAAATATATTTTTAAAAAAACTTAAAAAAATAGTTAACTCTAAAAAATTTATTTAAAAACAATTCTCAGATAAATATGCTGACTTAATTGTAGTGTTTACATGGGCTTGAGCTCTGGGACGGACTGTGATGAAGTTGAAAGAAATGGGCTTTTTAGGGACTAACTGACATGGGTTTGAATGACCATTCTTGGCAAGTTAATGAAGTTCTTGAAGTCTGTTTCTGATAAAATATTAGTATTGCTCATGGGGTCTTGGCTTGGGCATTCTCCAAAGGGAGTTGCACCAATGAGCAGAAGACTGAGCCCACACTGAGTATTGAGTGAGACTTATTTCAAAATGGCAGGTACCAGTAAGGACAGCAATGGCTAGGTCCACGTCTGGATCAGACTGAGCAATACTCATAAAATGGTATTGTTCCGGAGCAGACATTACTTGTAATTACCATGTGACCTTTTGGCCATGGTTTTACATTGAAGGAACAGACGCTGTGGAAGGTCTCCAAATTTAGATCCTGTGTGGGGTGGTAACCTTTGAGATGAGCATTAAAGATGGAGTTGGTTTTACATTCCAAATTGCATTTTTTAAATGTGAATACTGTGCCCGTTACTTTATGTTTTATGCATTGTTTGCAAATAGGAATTACGGTCACCTTTATAGCTTATGAATTTGCTTTGGAAAATGACTTTTAAAAAAGTTCAATATTAGGAGCATAAAACTTGGCTCTAACATTTTTGAATGTCTGACTTTTTTTTTACCATGTCATCTATTTTCTTAATAAAGAGGATAATTTAAAGTTAAAAAAAAAAGATGGAGTGGGTTTAAAAGAATTAGAATCAAGCAGACTAGGGTTCAGATCCCAGCCTTGCCATTCACTAGCATTGTGACCTCTGAATGTGTGTTCTCTCCTTTGTAAAATATCCTGGTTCTGCTTGTCCGTACCAAATGAGAGAACATATGTAAAGCACCTGGCAAAAGCTCATCAGCCAATAAGATGAGCAAAAATGGGGAGCTGGATGCTGTGGGGTGGGGGATAGAGGAAGGCATAAAAAATTCACTTAGCTACGATGTGGGCCATGGGCAGCCCTTGAGCCCAACCCGTGGACCCAGCCTCACAGTGGCTCTCTCTTCAGGTGCCCACCATGTCCTTGAAGATCCAGACAAGCAACGTAACCAACAAGAATGACCCCAAGTCCATCAACTCCCGGGTCTTCATCGGAAACCTCAACACAGCTGTGGTGAAGAAGTCAGATGTGGAGACCATCTTCTCCAAGTATGGCCGTGTGGCCGGCTGTTCTGTGCACAAGGGCTATGCCTTTGTCCAGTATGCCAACGAGCGCCATGCCCGAGCAGCTGTGCTGGGAGAGAATGGGCGGGTGCTGGCAGGGCAGACCCTGGGTAAGCTCCCAGTATTCTGAGTAGGTGCTGGCCTTCACTCTCCAGCTTCCCTTTTAATCCCTTTTATTTTACCCCTACTTCTACCCACTATCCCTGTCAGAGATGTTATAACAATAGTTGTAAATTAAGTAGTTACAAATCAATGCATTAGGCTACAGATTGCTTAGGTTAGAATGCTTTCTGGGAGCCAGGAGGAGGTGCTAGGAGCACAGTTGAAGCAAGAGGTACCCTTGGCCTTGGTGTTATATACATGTGATGTGGCCATGCTGGTGGTCTGCTGTGGAGTGTGTATTGTATGTTTGAGAAGGGATATTTGTATATGTATTCCTGAGTATGTGGTATGTGGATATAACTGAATACATGGACATATACCTTATAGTGGGTATGTATGTAGTATGTGTCAGAATATATATGAGTGTGTAAGCAGATATGCATATATTCATTTACCAAATATTTGTTGAGGTCCCATTACGTGCTAAGCACTGCTCTAGGCATAAGTATGTTTGTTAGAATTTTGTATGAATGCGCATTAGATCTTTTGTATATAGGCAGCTATGTATATGATATTGGAACCAAGTCTGAATGTACTTGAGAGAGTGTGTATATATGTATATGTATATGATATATATGTATATATAGTGTGTGTGTGACCTTATTACCTGTGTATGTGAGGGTGTTATCTATATTTGTGTTTGCATGAGTGTACTTGAGAATACATATGTGTGTGATGTACATGAAGTATGTGTGAGTGATATGTTTATGAGCTTGCATGCATGTGTCTGAATGTATATGAATATGTAAAGAGGTGTTTCCATGTGTTGTGTGGGTGAGTCTAGTGTGAGGACATGTGTTGGCTGTGTTAGGGACTCAGTCTGTGGGGACATCATATGTACACATAAACTGCTGCACACTTGCATGAGGGTGATATGTGTATGGGCACCTGCTGTCCTGTCAGCATCTGACTCTGCCTTTTCCCTTCACACAGACATCAACATGGCTGGTGAGCCCAAGCCCAACAGACCCAAGGGGTTAAAGAGAGCAGCATCTGCCATTTACAGGTGGGCGCTCTGCCTTGTCTGTCTCTGTGCAGGTGGGATTGGTCCCTCTTCCACAGAGGGAGTGAGCACTGGTGACTACTGTGCTGAGCCTAGAATTTGGGAGGGTGTTTGGAGATGAGGGCCTGTGAAGAGTGGACTGAGTGGCTGTCCCTAAGCCCCGGCCCTCTCCCCTTTGTTTCCCCAGTGGCTACAGCTTTGACTATGATTACTACCGGGACGACTTCTACGACAGGTGAGCAGGGAAGGGGCGTGCCCAGGCATGAAACAGCCAAGCTGGAAGGGTCCTGAGAGATTGCTGGTGCAGCCCATTCAGCCATCAAAGTGGGACCTAAGCCCAGAGGTGTGGACAGGCATTTGCCCAAGGCTGCTCCACAAGTGGGTGGCAGAGCGGGGACTAGAGTTAGGTTTGCAGGTGCCCAGGCTAGAGCTCCCCCACCCCACACTGTCTCCCACTCTCTGACTGCCTGTCTTCCTCCTAAATCCGGGTGGGGCTCAGTGGGACTGGACAGCCAAGGGACACATAAATGCAGCAAGTTGGAGTTCAAAACGGTACAGGGCCCAGTGCAGGGAGTTTGGGCTCTTATGCTTCTGCTGTTCCATCTAAGTTACCCAGCCAGCAGGAAGGGACCTCAGAGCTCAGTCTGAGCTGCTGGGCCTTATTTTTATAGCCAAGAGTTAGCGGCCCTGTTAGAGGTGTGAATTGGTCCCTGGTAGGCTGTGGCCCACCCTCCACTTCCCAGCCTACCCAGACCCCAGACTTGAGGCTGTGGCCTCCACTCCATGGCCCCATCCACATTCTTGAGTGGAAATCATGGTGGGAGCTGGCCCAAACTCCCCCCTGCTTCTCTCCCTCTATCTTTTCCTCCCTCCCTCTTGGCCTGGCTGGCTGTCCCAGGCTGCCCCAGGCTGTCCAAGAAGAATAGAACCTTTCTGAGCCTTGGTTTTCTCACCTGTGAATTGCTTCAGGAGACAGTGCAGTGTACAGTGGGGCCTTGACTTACGAGTGTCCCGACTAACGAGTTTTTCGAGATACGAGCCAATTTTTTGCTTTGAGTTGCGAGCTAAAATTCGGGTTACGAGCCAGCTTCAGTTACCCCACCGCTAGTTGGCGCAGCGAACGTCACAGTGAATGCCACAACATCAGCCCAGCATCACATGTCTCACTCGTTCACTTTATGATTTGACATACGAGTAATTTGAGTTACGAGCTCCATCACGGAACGAATTAAACTCATAAGTCAAGGCCCCACTGTAGTTGAAAGTGCCCTAGCCTGGGAGTCAGACTACCTGGGTGCTAATCTCAGCTCTGCCACTGAATGGATTGCGTGACTTTGGGTAAATTCCCTCCCAGTCTGTGAAATAGGCTTGCACCAAATGATCCCTCAGGGCTCCTCCTGCTCTGGGATTCTGTGGTTCAGTGATTCTGACCAAGGCCAGAGCCGCCTCCTCCCCTTTGGGGCAGAAATGCAGTGTCTGGGACTTTCCATCTCCAGTCATCACCAGCCCAGGGCAGGGGCTCCCTGAACAAAGGAGTGCCAAGGCATGGGGCATTGAATTGCCCATCGATGTCAGGTTTCCTGGTTGTCATCAGGGAAGTGATCCTACAGTGTACCCCTGAGGCTGCCGTTCCCTGCAGAAAGGTGGTAGCAGCAGATGTGGTGGCAGAGACCCCTACTCAGCCTACTGAGCTGCATGACAGGAAAAAAGGCCTTCCTGGGAGGGCTGGATAATGGTGTTGGTGGGGGCCGGGGGGGCAGCAACAGTCTGGGCACCTGGGGATCTGAGGGAGTTACCCAACCTTGACACTCTGCTGGGTCTCCTGCCCTCCATCTCTGAAGTGGATTAAGATGGAGGGAGTGACTGAGGGCGTCCAGAATGAGGAAAGGACCTCATGCTTCTCTTAGTACCCTGGCCATTCATCAATCACACCTTCTATCATGGGTTTTTAACCACATTCTCTTGTGCTTTACCTCACAGCAGTTTTGGGGGGAGGGGGGGGCAGGGGCACAGAATTTGGGATAGCCATCCTCATTAGGCAGATGGGAAAACTGAGGCTCAGGCAGGCTTAGGGATTGCCCTCCGGTCCCACAGCTCTCTGTTTGCAGCTGCAGGTTTGTGCTGCTTTGGCAAAATTTACAAACTCTGACCAGGGATTGAGGTGGCAGTTGATTGAGCAGAATCTAGGTCAGAAATAGAGCAGGCCTGGGTGTCAGGGTGGCTCTATCTAGGGAAGGCTCCTTTCTGGGGCTGGTCTCAGTTTACTCCTCTGTTGAATGGGGCTGTAACTATTATCACCTGCCACTTCACCTGCCTTTAAGCAGCTGGTTGGTAGGAAAAGTGAATGTAGTGAGGATCCCAGCAGCTCTTAGGGTTCTGAACACCCTTTCTGTTCACCCCAGGGCTTGTTGGGAGCAAGCAGAGGTGTGTTTTGCAGGCCAGCCCTTCACCAACCATATACATTTTAGTCTAAAGTTACAGTGACCCTTGGTGGCCACAGGCCATGCTGCAGCCTCTGGCCCATTTGCCCTCACAGGCTCTTCGACTATCGGGGCCGCCTTTCACCGGTGCCTGTGCCCAGGGCTGTCCCTGTGAAGCGACCCCGGGTCACAGTCCCTTTGGTCCGACGTGTCAAAACCACCATTCCAGTCAAGCTCTTTGCCCGCTCCACAGCCATCACCACCAGCTCAGTCAAAATTAAGTGTAAGTGACTTATTTTCTTCCTAAATAACTTTTTTTTGTCATTAGCAAAATAATAGAATTACATTTTTTTACATTGGAAAATAGATAAAGGAACAAATCTCCCACAGTTCTGCAGCTCTAACAACCAAGTGAGTATTTCCATGTATTTCTTAGAGAAAAAGGCTGACGTTTCAGGCGGAGGGGCTTGGGTTGGGCACAGAGTCCAGTGCTGTGACATGGAGCCCAGTGAGGAGATGGGGTCATCTTTCCTCTGGTAAGGACAGGACAGGTCTACACAGGCCCACTACTCACATTCACCTTCGTGTGCAAACGCTGTGGTCAGGCGCCCAGGAAATCTGATTGTAAAACACCCACATTTACACACCTCGAAAGGCAGAAACCACTCTGTATCACCAGCAAAGACACATGCTTGTTCAGGAACACCTTCCTATCCAGCCCCAGTCCCTTTCAGAATTGAGAGGTTGGGTGGGGGGAAAGATACAGGTTCAGAAGGACAGTCTGGTCACTCGAAGAATGGCTTTCAGAAAGTCAAGGGAAGCCACAGGCAGCTTCAGCCTTTTCCCTGGCCAGAGAAAGCTGCGGACACGGACAGTTCCTGCCATTGGCCTGTCTTCCTAATTGACAGAATGGGGCTAGGGTCTTGTGTTAGTATCGAGCTCCCAGTCCCCAGGTGACAGCCCTGTACTCCCTCCACTCCCAGTAAAGAGCAGTGAGCTGCAGGCCATCAAGACAGAGCTGACACAGATCAAGTCCAACATTGACGCCCTGCTGGGCCGCTTGGAACAGATTGCTGAGGAGCAGAAGGCCAACCCAGGTCAGCTTCCAAGGGTCCTTGCCCTGGTTTGAGTGTCCAGGGGCCCAAGGCAAAGGGTCGGGGGGAGGACAGTGCATGGTACAGAGAGGGACTATGGCCTCTAATCCCACCTGGACCCACTGTGTTGAGCCCTCGCTTCTGCTGAAGTGTTGCCCAGGAAGCTGTCCCAGGCTGAGTTTTATTCCCCTTTTCACCACCCTTTTCCCTCAAGATGGCAAGAAGAAAGGCGACAGCGGCAGCGGCAGCGGCAGCGGCAATAGTGGTGGCAGCAGCCGGCCACTGGCCCCACAAGAGGACACAACTTCTGAGGCAGGCACACCCCAGGGAGAAGCACAGGTTCGAGATGACGGCGATGAGGAGGGGCTGCTGACACACAGCGAGGAAGAGCTGGTGAGGGCATGGTTGGAAGGGCTGAGACTGGGCTATTCATACTCGTAGTCGCCGCAGGGGAAGGGGAACCTCTGAGCTGGTTCCTTTTTCCAGGGGCTCCAGTCCCGTGAGGAAAGTGGGGAATGAGCAGCAAGTAGTTGCCTATGTCAGCCACCAGTCAGAAGTCCCACAGAGGTCTGAGGCAGACCTCTCTTGAGCCCAGGGCCCATTCGAGACCCGGTTTTCCACATGGGGACAGAGAGTCAGGAGCTCAGGGAGCACAGACGGTGTGCAGAGTTGAGGGGGCAGGACTGGGGTTTCCTGGGGAAGCCACAGGGAAGTAGGTCTCCATTCTACCTGACGATTTTCTAAAAGCCACTGTTGCCTGAGCATGAAATAATAGGCTGTCTTATGAGGGATCAAGGGAGTTCCCCATCTGTGACGGTGGAAGCCACTTGGCAAGGAGCTTACATGAAGTGGAAGGCAAACCAGATTCTGAGCCAGTAAGGTCTTTGTTGTGTGCTTACTACTTGTTTACCTAAGGAACGCTCAGTTGAGCACCAGGCCCGTTGGTCCACACTTTCTAACTTCATTTAACCTTAATAATAGCCCTGCATTGTGCAAAGTATTACTCTTCCCACATTTTACCCTGTGAGGAAACTGAGGCTCAGAGGAGTCGAGTAGCTTGCTCAGGGCCTTATAGCTAATAAGGGTCAAGCCAGGATTGGAGCCCAGACTTCTTCACTAGGTCTGGAACTTTCTCTTTTCATCCCTGCTGGGCTCTGATGTGAGGACAGATGGGTTTAAGAGGTCCTTCTCATGTCCAGCTCATATTAGCCTGCTCTAATCTGAGAAGGTCTTTCTATGCAGAAACGTGCCCCCTGTCACACATAGAACTTCCTTGACTGGTCCCTTCTCTCTCCTGAGGGGCCCTCAGTCGACCCTGATGCGATCCCAAATCAGCCTTGTTCAGGCTGGTTCCATAGTCATTTCCTTTGGCTGTCCCTCTCTGAGTGTGGCCTCTAGATGTGCTCTGGGCCTCAGGGCAGGACTCAGAGTTTGCAGTGAGTGATATGTGGTCTCTTGTTGCCTCCTCCCTATCAGGAGCACAGCCAGGACACAGATGCAGAGGAAGGGGCCTTGCAGTAAGCAGGTACGGTGGTCGTGGTGGGCAAGGGGTGAAGTGAAGTGGAGGGCATGCCATGAGGCCGACTTGGCAGGGGAGTGCTGTGTCCAGCAATGAAGGCCCCTCTATCCCCAGCCATCTCACTACCCCTCTTTGTGGTGGGGATCTCTGAGAATCCTCTCTTCTGGAGGAAGACACAAACTATTACCATCCAGTGTGAGCAGGAACATAGGCTGAAGAACTGGGAGCGGGGGGTGGGGAGTGGGGGGAGAATGTCAAAGAGGGCTGTGGTGGAAGAGGTGATACGCAGTTGAGCCTGTTCAGGATTGAGGGAGAAGCATCTGAGGGAACGCCCTGAGCAGAGGCACAGAGGCTGGTAGTCCTCAGTGTGTGGGAAATGCCCAGGGATCTCCTGTGGCTGCAGTCCCAGCTCTGCAGAGTAGGGAGAGAGAGCTGCTCATCATCAGGGTGAGGTTGTGCCAGGCTTAGGGTCTGGGACTTGATCCTCTCAGGTGGAAATGCTCTGTGTGCCAGGAGGTGCCACACAGCTTGTGATTGTGCTAATACTATAATAGATGTGGAAACAGGCACTGAATGGGAGGGCAGGGAAATAAACCACATATCTCTTAAGATCTCAAGGGTTGTGATTGTTGGGGCCTAGATTTGAACCCAGTGGTGTGTGGCTTCAAAGCCCACTCTCGCCAGAGTTCACCACCTAGCTCTGCCGCTCTGCCCTATTCCTTTGGGGGCCGTGCTCAGAGTTAGACAGGTTTGGATGGAGGAAGACCTCAAACAACAGAAGCATCTCAGGGAACATTCATGCTGTGAGATGCTTCACCAGCAAGGGCTTCCCTGACAGTTTAGTTTAGAAAATCCCATTCATGCAGTTTTTTCTCTTGGAGCTTCATGGTTTGTTTTACCAGAGAGTAAGTTTTACCTTGTTAAGCCAGTTTGCAGGTGAAGTACAGGGGCCAAATGGAGGCTCAGGAAGGGGGAAGAGACTTGGCCAGAGTTACATGGCCAGAAAATTATGAGGCCAGAGCCAGAGCACAGGCATACGTCTATCTGCAAGTAGCAAATATCATGCTACCCTTGCTTTTTCCCAACCCGTTTTCAAGAAGAGCACAGGGACTTTTCTTCTCAGCCTTAGTCTCTATTTGTCTCTTTCTCAGTCTGACAGGAGCGATGGCCACTGGAAGGAGAAGGGCGTGCACTGTACCAGGCCTCAGGCTGGGCACCCACCCCTGGATGCCACCCCAGCAGGTCCCAGAGGAGAGTTGGCAGCAGGCACCTCATCCCCCATGCATCCCAGCCAGTGCCACATCCTCTGCAGGTGGAGTTACCGGTCTCTCCTCCCCACGTACCCTCCCTATTGGCACTGCCCAGGCCAGAGGGCAGAGCACAGAGTTTTCTCCACACTCTGTCCAGGACACTCCCAGGCTTGGGGTTTTTCTATAGGTTTGGAGAGGGGTGGGGTGGGAGGCACCGGGAGGAGACCCTGACAATAAAGAGATTGGATCCCAACTTGCTCTGAGATGGGATGGTTTGCATTTTCTCATGAAGGTACCCTGGCCCTCTTGCCCAGCCAGAAAGCAGATCTGCTGTACCCCCTTCACTCTAACCTGTCAGGGACCATTGTCTAGGGCAGCAGTCGCCAACCGGTGGTCCTCGGACCACTTGTGGTTGGCGACCTCTGGTCTAGGGTGTATAATATTGATCCACCTGGGCCTTAATTTCCACAGCTAAAACGGAGATAAAAATAGCCAGCAGGGTTGTTGGGGAGGGTCAGATGTGCCAGTACCCATGAGAGCAGCTTGGTGGCTGAGTGCCAATTGTGAGCCACTTGGTCAGGCAACAGTAGGTCCAGGACTCAGCTTCTCCTAGGTCTGGTCTTTCCCAGCTTTAAAGCAGTCCGAGAACCTGCTGTTTCTTCCCCTTCTCTGTCCTGGTTTAGGACACTAGTTTTTATTCACTTGGGACTTTGTCCTCACCAGCCTCCCTGTCTCCAGCTTCTCCCTGCCCCATTTCTCATTGGCCACCACAGTGTTATTTCTGAATTATATCCCTTCCCTGTATAAAACCCTTTCTGACTAGCTTCTCACCATCTAGACAAAATGCCAGCTCCTGAATATGGGGTACATGATCCTGGTCTCTCCTGTTCTTTTGACACCACACACATAAACCTTAGACTGCAACCACACAAAACAAGTCCTTCATACTTATCAGCAGCAAAAAATAGAGCCCCACTCCTGTTACCTAACACAGTAGGAGTTTGGCATCAGGATACATGTGGCCTGTCTGCACTCATCTCTGTTCTTTAACAGGCCAGGTTCCTTCAAACTCCACTTCTGTGCTAACTTCTCCTCCCTCCCCTTCCCTATATTCCCCATAAATTGTCCAATTTCTCCACATTCAAATTCCCAATAGAGAATTAACTGCCACAGCAGTATATTTTGAGTTAATCATAGATTACAGATATCTCCCCTGGTCCAGTGAAGCAGGGATTCACATGTGGCCACTTAGGCTGGTCTCATTGGTTTAGGGCTGTGGGTAGGCAGGCACTCATAAACATACTTTGCTCCAAGCCTGGCACATACTCTTGCTCCTACTTTTTCTACCTGGGAAGTTTCCACTCATTATTAAGCTGCTATCCTAGTCCTCACTTCTGGGAAATTTCAGAGATCCAGACCTGGGGTGAAAAATAGCCCCTTGGAACTGGGATGGGCCCTTGCCCAGCTTGGTCAAAACAAAAGACTTCAGTTTGGAGAGATGAGGAAGGTGTCCTGAGGAAGGTACTAGGTCCACAGGGAATGTCTTTTTCCCCCTGAAAAGCCCTCAGTGAAACACACCTCTACCATCCTTGAACCCACAATCTTTCCTTACTGACCAGAAGGCCAGAGCCCAGCTCTAGCAGACCTGCTTGCATACCTGGGCAGATGTTTGTGTCCCCACCTGTACAAGATGGGGAACTACTACTCTGTGATGGAGCCTGGGCAAAGTCTAAAGTAGGGGTTTTGGAGCCTGATGAACCTCACACTGAGGGCTGGCACTGTATTACTTTGTTCCCAGAGCCTAGTGCTATATGCCCATTGCACAGTAATAACATTCCCAGACTCTACAAGGCTCTACTTGGCTGAGATACTTTTCAGAGCTTGGGGGACAGCTAGAACAGCAGGGGCTATGGGTTTCCGTAGTATGTCAGGCATAGAGAACCATGAGAAGAGCAGGAAACATCTGATCTACCCAGAGGCCCTGCCTAATTGCCTTGGCACCAGAACATATCCTAGACAGAGAATGGGATCCCTGTCCTGGCATTCCAGGGAATGGTTACAGTTGTATCCTTAAGCGGGAGGTTCATAACCATAAAACTCTGCATAAATATGCCTGCCCTCCCCGTATCTGGGGTCAGGAAAGTCATCTCCCATTCCATGCTCAACAGTTTTCAATTTTCTGTCTTAACCTCTGAAAAACCGAAAAGAGATGGTGAAGAAATGTGATACCAGATTGTGCCCAAAGGACCGATATCTCTAGATGTTTTTAAGATCTGAAACCTCATTTGTGATTCTAGCAGCCACCTTGAAGGAGTATCACAGCCAGTGGGTTTACTGGATTGTGACCCTAAGCAAGTCTTTCCTTGCCAGGTCTGTTTCCTCATCTGTATGAGGGGTTGGCCTACATCAGGGATAGTGTGGGCCTTATATCAGTTATTAACTGTAGTATAACAACTACCCTGAAATTTAGTACCTTTCCATAAACATTTATTAGCTTCTGATTCTGTGGCTTAGCAATTTGCATTGTGCTCAACTGGGTGGGTCTACTTTATCTGGGCTCTTGTGTGGGTAAAGTGAGCTGGCAGATCGCCAAGGGGCTGGTTGGTCCCAGATAACCTCACTCAGCTGGGCAACAGGGGCAACTGGTCACACGTTCCCAGCATCTAGGAAGAGTAAGCCCCAATACGCAAGTGCTCTTCAAGCTTGTGTCATGTTGGTAAGGTTCCATTGGCCAAAGCAAGGCGCGTGGTTAAGCCCAAATTCCTCTTAATTTGAAGAGCTTCAAAATATGGCCATAATTTGTTTTTAATCTATCTTAGGCCTCATTTCACTTAGTGCTTCAAAACATTAGTAGCTGCTAGAGTACTTCTTGAGGATTTAGAGCAGTTTTTAGACTACTAGGAAATAGTAACATGGCAGTTTAGGTTTTTTATATTGACAAGAGTTGAAATGTGGGTATGTGTTGAGTATTGGCCAACCCTGGCCGGGTCATAGAGACCACAGAAATAGAGGAGCATGGCCAAAGCTTCTGAGCCAGGTATCCTGGGTTTGAATCACAGTTGGGACATTAGCTTTGAGTAAGTCATAAGTCCTCCACCTATAGCCCCATTCTTCATGATAAAATTATTCCATAGTGACAGTAAACCATTTCCTGAATATCTGCTGTGTAAAAGGCACATTTTACACCTATTTAATCTCCACAACCACCTTTAAGTGGATGTTGTGTGAACTTTTGGTTACAAGTTATAGAAACTGAACTCAAACCTCCTTAGGAAGAAGTTTAGTTTCACAAATTGAAAGTCCAGGGCATGAGTGGGTGGAAAGGGAATCCCCAAAAGGGAAACATGAGTGGAAAAAGGGAGGCTTGGGCTGACAGAAATAATGTCTTCATTGTGTAGATGCCTATTTTATGGATTTTATAATGTGAAGTTTTAAGCATGGCCCCATTGACAAGTAGTGTCTATATCCTCTCCCTTTCATCTGGACGGTGACTGATTGATAGAGTACAGTGATGGTAATGCTATCCCAGTCTCCTAGCAGTATGCACCTAGCAGTGTGTCTCGGGACCCAGCCACCATGCTATGAAGAAGCCCAGGTCACATGGAGAGAGAGGCCGTCAGACATTAGTGAGGAAGCCTTTGAGATGACTCCAACCCAGCTGAGTAAGAACTGCCTCCCAGCCCTAGCTGGTTTGGCTCAGTGGATAGAGGGTCAGCCTGCGGCCCAGAGGGTCCCGGGTTCGATTCTGGTCAAGGGCACGTACCTTAGACCTGAGGGGGGGGGTGTGCGGGAGGCAACCAATCGATGTTTCTTTCACATCAATGTTTCTGTCTTTCCCTCTCTTCTACTCTCCCTAAAAATTAATGGAAAAATATCCTCGGGTGAGGATTAATAAAATGTAAAAAAAAAAAAAAAAAAAGAACTGAGATCTCCCAGACCCCAGTCAGAGTCTAGCACCACAAGGGATAATTTAATTGTTGTTGTTGTTGTAAGCCACTAAGTTTTGGAGTGATTTGTCATTTATCAATAGAACACAGACACAAAGAGGTTACATAGCTTGCTTGCTCTACTTTAGGGGGATTGGGTTCAGAGTATAGACTATTGAACTGAGTTCCTATTTAGTTGTGTGACCTTAGGCAAGTAACTTAAGCTCTCTGAACTTGATCTTCATTTGAAAAAGAACACATCCTTGCCCTAGCCAGTTTGGCTTACTGGATAGAGCATTGGACTGTGGGCCAAAGGGTTCCGGGTTCGATTCCAGTCAAGGGCACATACTTGCAGGCTCCTCCCTGGCCCGAGCCCTGGTCAGGGTGCATGCAGGAGGCAACCAATTGATGTGTTTCTCTGTCTTTCCCTCTTCCACTCTCTCTAAAAGATCAATAGAAAAATATCCTTGGGTGAGGATTAACAAAAAATAAATAAAAAGAACGCATCCTTGTATAACAATACTTAATGAGAATACTTATCTTTACCTAATCCAAATTCAGGTAATTTTTCTCTTAAAAAATAACCATACTTTCCTACTTACTTTATACTCACCTTGTCCCCAAATGTATTTCAGGCAACTTAAAAAAGATTGAGGCAATACAATATTTAAAATGAGGCAAAGGAAGAGGTAATCATAGGCCTTTTGTTGGTGTTCTGATGTCTGAGTCATTGCAGTTAAGCAGTGTGTTGATCTGGTCCAGGCCCGTGGAGCAAACCCAGCTGGCCCTCCTGCCTGTGTGGATGGACACCTCTTTTCTGACTGGTGAGTGGGCTCCTGGTCCACACATACCCCTCCCTGCACCTCTGCCTCAGTGCACTTCCACAAAGGTGCAGCAGCTGGGTTTTGGGCAAGTGCATGGGTTTGGCTTTTTCAGATACACAGAACAGAAACTGATAGGGTTACCCTTTCTCACTTTCTGACCTGGACCCCATTTCTTCCCCACCCTCCAGTCTCTTCTAACAATAAGGCTCCTTCTTGCTGTCCGGTGTGGCTCAGAGCATCAACCTATGTATGATCCAGATCATGGTTCGATTCCCAATTAGGGCACATGCCCAGTTGCAGGCTTGATCCCCTGTAAGGGGTGTGCAGGAGGCAGCCGATCAGTGATTCTCTATTACCATTAACTATTGGCCTGGTGCATGAAATTTGTGCACATTAAAAGGGAATTAGAGGAAATATTTTAATATTGCTATTTGCCCTTTCTCTATAATAGAAATGTCAGAGATGAAAGAAAATTAGTAAAATGTATGAAAATTTTCCTCCTGTCAGAGTCTGGGGCGTGCCGGGGGACCCAGAGTCAAGTCCCCGCCCACCCACACACGCCTCGAAATCGCGCAAGACCCAGACCCAGCCGGCCCCACCCTCATTGGATGAAATCCAGTCCCAGCCAGCCCCACCCGTCAAGCCCTGCTGGGCGGGGGTGGGGGTGGGGGGGGACTCAGCCTCAGGTCCCTGCTGATCTCTCGTTATGGGAACCCTGCCTCTGCTGTGGGCAGTCATCTTGTGATGGTGTGACAGCTAATTTGCATATTACCACTTTATTATATAGTATGTTTCTATCTCCCTCTCTGAAACAATAAAAAATATATGTATTTTTAAAAAGAACACCACCTTCAACGTGACAAAGCTCCAAGGACTGCCTCTACTGTAATCCTTGGGAGAATTTGAAGTCTTTATTGGCAAGGATGGCAAGGTTTATTAGGATTATTGTGACACAACCTATATGAGAATACAGGATATAATCAATGGCAGAGGGGGAATCACTGGACTTTTGTTCATCTTCTCAACTAAAAAAGGAACACCAAGGCCCAACTTCTAAAAACATATTATAAAATCTAAAATGTGAAACCTTTGTATTGCCAGGACAAAAGATGTGGATGAGGGAGGCCAGGTTACAGCTGAGGACTCACACCAGTGGTCGGCAAACTGGCTCGCGAGCCACATGTGGCTCTTTGGCCCCTTGAGTGTGGCTCTTCCACAAAATACCGACTTCTGCGCATGGGCCACGAAATTTCAATCGCATTGTACGTGCGCGCCTGCACGTGGTATTTTGTGGAAGAGCCACACTCAAGGGGCCAAAGAGCCGCATGTGGCTCGCCAGCTGCAGTTTGCCGACCACTGACTCACACCATGGTAGCACTTCTTCCAGGCTGTCCAGCCCAGCATTTTTTATGCACAACACTTATCCTGCAAGATATTGGGGGACAAAGAGGGTTACAAAAATCTGCATAGTCTATGCTTTTAAATGAAGTGTGAGATCACTCCAGGAAGATACTTTGGGACAAGCATAAGCTTTTCTGTAGGTGGGGTTGGTCATGGAGTCAAGAGCATTTTCTAAAGACTAGAGATAATTGCATGTTTATGCGCTCATGAAAATGTATGTGAGCAAACTAAAACTTAGGTGGTCATGGAACTTATCTACTCTCAAACTTTACCATGGAATCCTTCTTTTTCCCCTTTTTACATAGTTAGGAATACTCCTCAACACTGTTTCCTGACACTGGTAACAGTGGCCTCATTCTTCTCACAACCAGAACATGATCAGAAACCCTCAAATGCCTTTGCTTTATTACTCTATAGAAGGTTCCCTTCCAGCTGAGCTGTTTGGTGAGAGGTAGCAGGCAGGAGGTTAATGTTACTTGTGAATGGGTAACCTAGGGCAACCCACCATTTTGAATGGGTTCCTTAGAGTCAAATCAATTAAACAATATCTCAACTGGACTATCTTAAAGGGTCAGGATCAGTTCAGAGATGAATCTGTTTTGAGAGTGAAATTAAAGATGCGTTGAAATTGTCAACATAACTATGCCAACCTATCACCAAACTGTAAAGTCCCATGTCTTCCCCTGAGGGGTCCCACTAAATGAAAACATATACACACAAAAGTAATAGAGCGCTAATTACACAAGAGGCACTGATCCTTGCTTTATTCACTCAGTAACATCCAACATTGGGAATTGTGTGGGCACATATACAAAAGGAAGATGGCATTATAAACAGCAGTCCAGTTCATCAGGGCAGTGGCCGCAGCTCAGCCAGTTTGAAGGAATGCTCTGCTCCCTCCAACACTTTATGGCCAAAGTGTTTTATTATAACACTTGGCTTGTACTTTAAAATTAAGGGTCACAGTGATTAAAAACAACCATGGTCAAGACATTCAGGGCCAAGTGACTGGCTGCTTCTGAGCTGCTTAGGATTAGTCTTGCATCAAGAAAGTTGGAACATTATGCCCTCATCCTTGGCAAGTGCGTGCAAGGCAATCACAGCAGACACATAAGATGATCTTTCCCTCATGCTCAATGGAGAAATACCCTTTCAGCCAAATCCTCAGAAGGCAGAACTGGAGGCACCAGAAGCACCACACACAGGCAGCATCACCTCTTTCAAAAGATACTTTAATACAGAAAATAGAAAAGCATTTGTGGTGGGTCTTTTCAAACCTGGAACACAAGTTGTGGAAGAAAAAGAAAAACTTCCTCTAGTATCATGGTTTAGACTGTTCTTTTGTACTGCACATGCCATATCTCTTATGAGACACACTTCACAGCCATTTCTAAGATTCTCTTGGTGGCCAGTAAGAAAATTCAAAGGAGGGAGGGTACCTAGCACCTTGTATTCCCTCATGGTGACAGCTAGAGGACTTGGCAGTGAGGTAGTAGCAACAATCCTCACATAATGAAATAAATTCATATCTATGTAGTCATTCCTGGACACTAAAAATAGGCTGTCCTCCCAAATCTCATGCTCCAACCACCCTCTCGTGAGAAGCTGTATCTACTTTATGCATCTCAGAAGAAGCTGAGAGGAAAATGGCTGCCCAGCTGGTCGCTGCCAGTGTCCAGTTTTTAGGATAAAGATGCAGAAACCTCACCAGATCCCAGGCCCAAACTGTTTTTGCTGAATTCATTAAGCACAATTTTTTAGAAAACTGAAGGACAAACCAAATTGAAAGAATTACTGTTATAATAACTTTAATTTCTCTTGCATTTTACAGAAGTCTGTGAACGATTTTTAAAAAGCACCACCTTACCCCATCTTGTTTCTCTGACAGTTGTTAAAGTAGGCAATGATTATGTCAACAGCTTGAGCATCGGCATCTTGCAAGGATTTCAGACCAACCAGCCATACACCAAAGAGCTTGGCAGCTTTTCTATCTTGTTTTTTAATACAATGGTATATCCACTCTGATGGTAAACCTGTCCAGCCAAATTTCCACAACACACTTTGCCAAATCAGTGGTGATCAGCAAATTAGTTAGCTTTGGCACGGAGCTGTGCTCGCTTGCCCGTGACAGCCTGGAAGCCGGTTTTGATGCTGGCAACAGAGCATCGAGAATGACAAGTTTCACACTGTAAGAAATAGAGTCGGGTGTCCTTTTGCAGGATTGTGTCAGGTGATCGGCATGTGTGACAGGTGACATATTCCTCTGCAGGAAAAGCAACATACAGAATTAACTGGTGGCCTCTGGTTTCTTTCCTCTAAAAACACTTCTACACTGAACTCCACAAGCCCAGGCTAACACCCAGACCAAGGAGCTTAGCTAAACTTATTTGTAAGTTTATCCCTAAACTATTCCAGGGTAAGAAAACAAAAGCCGTCTGCTGCGATGCTTCAGGTACTAAACCATGGGTTGAAAAAAAAATACTCCAAATGTCCAAGGAAGCAGGAACGCGCAGATGCCTACTTGTGGTTTTTCTGCAGGAGAGCCACTAAGAAAGACCTTACAGCGTTCCTAGGTAGGTGGGAAGAGACCTGTCAATTTTAAGTGATGAAGGAGATAAATGCAGACCAGGCCTTGAACGCAGACAGATTTCTCTGGGTTGGCCTTCAGCCTGGAACCAACCAGCAGCCTTGATTGGCTGGGCCTTCTCCCTGCACCCCCAATCAGTGGCCAAGAGCCACCTCCCTGCCCCCTTCCCCATCACTATCATTTTACCTCATCCTTTAAGGCCAGCCTTTCCAGCTCCATTAGAAACCAATGACTCTCCCCAAAATAATACAACCTGATGAGAACATTTCAGAGTGATGTACTGAGATTAAATATACACTTACTGATATATCTTCTCAAAACATTTTCTATCTGTTTCTGTTGGAATCTTCCTTTGATTACAAGTTGGTTATTACCATCTATAGAACCACTATGAAAGAAAACAAGTATCTCCATTATTGATTTTTCCTATAGGGAACCAAATTCCAGAATCTTTACATTCAATGAATTTAAAATATCAAATTTATAATTGATTTTAAGTCTAAACACAAATTGATTCCTTAACTGTGTGATGGCTCATTCATCCAACAAGGTAAAACACTTTTACTGAATGTATATCATGTTCAAAGTAAGACCTATCTTTAAAAATTCTAAGCACCAAATACGTATTTTGATTATCATATATAGTTGATGAAAATATTCTAAAACCAATTGTGGTAATAGTTCAATTAATTATGTGAACATTGAATTGTACATTTTTTTATTTTTTAATATATTTTTATTGATTTCAGAGATGGAGAGAAACATCAATGATGAGAGAGAATCCTCGATCAACTGCCTCCTGCACACCTCCTACTGTGGGGATTGATTGCAACCACAACCAGGGCATATGCCCTGACCTGGAAGAGAACCCTGACCCCAATTCATAGCTCAATGCTCAACCACTGAGCCACACACCAACTGGGCTGAATTGTACATTTAAATGTGTGAAATATATCTCTATAAAACTGTTAACCCCTCTACCCCTCAAGTACGGTTGAAGTCACAGGCCACATATTGTCAATGGTACTTAGAAAAGTTTTGAGCCCGGCTGGTGTGGCTCAGTGGTTGACCATAGACCCATGAACTAGAAAGTCACGGTTCAATTCCCGGTCGGGGCACATGCCTGGGTTTCAGGCTCAATCCCCAGTGGGGGGTGTGTAGGAGACAGCTGATCAATGATTCTTATCATTGATGTTTCTAGCTCTCTCTTCCCTCTCTCTGAAATTAATTATAAAGATTTATTATTATCCCCCATGGACTGGGACCCTTAATCTCCAGGCTATGGTGAATTCTAATACTTGATGTAGGGAATGTTTTTTCATTCACTGTCAAAAGAAATTGACTTTTTTCAACCCTATATTAAGTCCACTGACCTTAAGTTCACTGGTTCTCAACTTGTTATAATTTATCCTACCTCTTAAGAAATTATTCTGAGAAGTAGGGAAAATACTGATAACTTTTACTCCTTCATTAATTTATGCAAGTTAAAAATAACCATTTTGGGGGGGGGGGGGTAGGCAACCAACATTTTTGGTGGCCTTAAAAAAAAAGCAACGATTATATAATTTACATTTAAAACATAATTCTTTTACAACAGAACCTACATATCTACCACTAGTCAAGTAAATTACTCCTTAACCCCACAGCAAGTGTAGCCAATCCCAACAGAGTTTCAAGAAAAGGAAGAGAGCAGAACACGTTAGTTATCTCTATACTGCCAGCAAGGCACAGAATTAAGTCTTTTAAAAGAGCTCAAGCTCCAGAGAAACAGGCAGATCTGAGTCTGCATGTTGACTGTGCCATTAGGTAATTATGTGACCAACTACAACTTCACTAAAATGGTTTTTAAATCTTTAAGACAGCTAATATTAGTTTCTACTAACAGTTCATGCAACTGTTTTAAGACTGAAATGGTACCCAAGATGCTCAATATGTGTTATTCATCATTATTATGCCCTGAATCTACTTATTTTTAAAGGGACAATTGGCTTCCTAGCACTTAAAGGTCAATTCAAATGGGATCTTGGCCCCCTGAATGGGGATGGACTGGCTTGGTGACTTCAACAGGTGAGCTCTTAAGGAAGTAACTAATTATGGATCCCTGTTTCAACATTTCTCCTGTGCCACTCATCAATTTGTAAGCTGTATTTCATCAATAGCCTATTAACAATTTAGAAATAATACTGACCTAAGAAAATAATTTCCTTTGAAATCTAATATTTGCTCCATAAAGATCTAAGAATCCAGTTAATGACAGGAAACTCTAAACACGGCAGTGCCATGATCCTCATTTTGGTATGCCAACAGGCCTGTTCAGATGAGTCACTGTTAATTCAGTTCTCTATTCCCAGGCAGCCAAGCTCTCCCACAGAAATGAGTTGACTTCCTTCTTTCAGTGGCCCAGAAGTTCCTCTGATAATCAGGTGAATTTTTTTTCCTGTGTTTTGTTTTTTAGTTTGAGAGAAGAGAGAGTTGGATCCATTGCCTCCTATATGCACCCTAACCAAACTTGTAACCTTTTGGACGATGATGCTCCAACTGACCAAGTCACCTGGCCAGGGCAGTGAATTTTTTTTCTAAGTGTGTTACATATCCTTTTCAGATTAAGAAAAGCTCTTATGAGATGTCCAGTAATTCTGTATGTAAATATATATATATATGCAAATATAGTTTCTTACCTTGTACCCAATTCAGCCAATAAAAATGCGAGGAGATGTTTGGGCTGACGATGTAATCTAAAAAGAAAGTAGAATAAATAAACTATCCTCCATGGAAAACTAACCAAACTTCTAAAAACCAACTTGTTCACTGTTTCAATTTGTGACTACTCTGCTATTAGGTGAACTTCAGTGCCCAGTTCATCAAACTCTGAAATAAAAGATATGTAATACATTTTAAAGACCATAAAATAATATTGCAAGTTATTTATAAATACTGTACATACCTACGAGTAAATGTCTAGAAACATGGACAGAAAAGGTAAACAACTTTAGAAAGTAACATCTTTTTCTGAAAAGGAAGATGAAAGAGATACAAAAAATGGCTTTAATTTTAACTGTAAAACCCTCTTTTAAAGAATAAAAAGATATGAAGTAACTATGTCAAAAGGTCAAATACACCAAATCTAGGCAACAGGATACTTGGCTGTTCTTTATGCTAATCCCTATATACTTCCTGTTTGATGATTTTCATTTAAAAAAAAAATGGAACAGCCTAGCCCATGTGGCTCAGTGGTTGAGCGTCAACCTATGAACCAGGAAGTCACGATTGAATTCCCAGTCAGGGCACATGCCTGGGTTGTGGGCTCAATCCCCAGTAGGGGGCATGCAGGAAGCAGCCAGCTGATCAATGATTCTCTCATCATTGATAATGATTCTATTTCTCTCTCCCGTCCTCTCTGAAATCAATAAAAATATTTATTAAAACACACACACACACACACACACACACACAACAAAAACAAGTGGTTATCTCTGGGTGATGGAATTTTTAGTGATTATTTTCTTTTTTGTTTACTATTATTTACCGTTTTATCTGCAACAAGCAGGTATCACTTATGAAATTGAAAAAAGTAAATAAGGTCAGTTGCCCTAAGGAACCAGCCAAAAATGGTGTAGCTGAGGAGCTAAGAAGAGCCAGGCCCAGACAGTGAGTGACCTGGTGGTGAGAGGCATGGAATGTGATGGTAATTTAAAAAGCTGTGTCTTGACAATGACCACCCGAGGAAGAGGCACAACAAATTTAGCTGTTTTCCCTGAGCTCACTTGCTTAGCAAAGCCACCCCAGCCTCAAAAGCTTTTCTACCTTCCCTGGGTTGGCCAAGCTCCTGTCTGAGGAATACATTTAGCCTCCACACTCTTCACTCCATCTGGATCCATTCTCATGCATCAGCATGAGTTGGCATCTCTCACCTCTGGATGTCTGATAATATAAGCCCTGAGACCTGTAAGTACAAAGAACTGATATATTTGAACTCTGACTTTCCTCAACCCAACTTTCTATCTGCAATGAAGTCCTCAATAAGGATCTTTAACATAAACATCACTGAAAATTTGGTATTTGGAATGGAGATTCTCCATTAACGAACTTACAGTTTACAGATATCTGTAAAGTTGACAAAAGAAGTTTTCTTGGTTCCTACTCGGACGACCTGTGGAGGTTTCATGACAAATTTCCTTTTCTCTCCAGCAACCATATCTGGATTCTTTTCCCTCATGATGTTGAACACTCGATTCAGTAGCTATAGAGATAAAGTGGTATTCATGTACATTCTTATTAATAGCAGTATACTGGAATCTTTGCTCTACCTTTAAGCAAACTTCACTTTTTATTGAATACACACATAACTCTATGTTCTGGGAGCTGCTTGAGAGCAGGACTCAATTCTCAACCAGGATCTGGTCCATATGAATGCTCAGCAATTCCTTGTTTGAAGTTAAAGAACGAATAAACCCCTTCTAACTCTGCTGTTTCTATGGGAAAGTATATGATATAATCAGAATAAGATTCAGGAAAGCCCAAATAAGCAAACTCCATGCTATCCTGACCCCAAATTAGACAATTCCTCTCTCCACTGCTCCCCGCTCCCATTCCAGGGGCTCTATCTCCATGTCCTAAGTTCACAGATTCAGATGGGAACAGTGAGTACTATAATGACTGCCACACTGACTGTCCCATATGAGGGCAGCAGGCAATGCTGTGCACTGGCTATGTGACCTCTCTGAGTCTGCTTCACTAACAATTTGGAGTTCAATGGCCCTACCAATTCAGGGAGCATTTATCTTGCTTTTCTTTGAGTTCTAGTGACTAGCTTAGCCCCTTTCCGTAACAGAATCTGTCTTACCTCCTCATACGTGTAGTCTCTTTCTGAGCCTGCCCAAGCAGGGCCTGTCTGGTTACTGAATGAGATACCATCATCTTTTTTGCTGTCTTCATCTTCTAAAGCTACAGATAACAAAGACTAAGAATGAGGGGTAGAGGCAGATCTAGAGAAATGAAAGTATCAAAGACATTTGTCTTCCCTCCCAGAACTACATTCACCACAGCCTCAAGCATAAAGGCATTAAGTTTCACAAATAACCTCTAATTCCTTAAAAACAGGGACTTTCATAAACAACCCTTAATAGAGACCTCTTTAATTAAGAATTTGTGATAACACAGACATACCTAACTGTTTCTTGATTTAACAAACCCAAGATAAAATAATGCACTGGGATAATTAGAAAAAACATCCAACTGTTTAGGCACTTAAGAAACATTCACATCCATAAAAACCCATCTGCTGACTATAGTAAAGTTCTTTAAAGAACCCATGGCACTTAGAAACTAGTCAAACAGCACTTTTTAACAAAATGAAAATTTTTTGTAACATTTAAAATTCAGTTACAGTAATTTTCCCAATCACCTGAAGCTGCATGATTTAGTAAAATTATAATTGTCAAATTCTACCCCCATGAAATCTTTAACTGTCATCAAGTCAGATATTGTTTTCCTTTTAGCTTCCATAATCAGGTGGAAATAAGGGTCAAGAAAAAATAAAAGAGGAGCCCACCCATCAAAGAGATTAGGCCAAAGGCCCAAGTAACGAGCACCCAATATTACCTTCGTCTTTCTCTAGAATTTCATCCTCATCTGGGAATTTGACATTTTTCTTTTTCTTCTTTTTATTGCCAAGCATAATGTCGAGGTCATCCTCTGGTTCAGCTGGTTCTTGAACATCACTTTCAATCTTAAGATCCTAAGAAATTAAGATATAAATTTCAATATTTTGATTCCAGGACTTAAAAAAAATGACATGGGCTGACATCCTTTTAAAGGAAAAAAAATTTAGTATTCAAAACTGAAGTTACATATAAGAAATGTCTCTCATAGGTGAGCCAAAGTGGCTCAGCGGAGTCCCTGTCATTTACACTGGAAATGAGACAGTTCTGTGGGATCTTTTCCTTTCTTTTTATTCACCAGCCTTCAGGCCACTGTCAGAATCACCCGGTAAACGTTTGTAAGATTCTTAAATCTTTTGACTGACAATCTTTAGCAGGAACAAGGGTCAGGAGTATTTTTAAAAAGTTTTTAAGTATTCTGATATAATCAGTGGGAGGAGGATTTTTTTCCTACTGACACCAAATACATGGTGTTTTTCCACACCAATTCTTCAACTCTCCAACTAACTGGGTGACCTATAATTCTTTTAACTCTGAAACTACCTGTAGTTAGTGAGTCTCCACAGGTTTAAGGGCTCAGTCCCACAAGACTGTCCTCACTTCAGGGGCCAGTCACGACTGATTAGATCATTGACCGCTGGTGAGTGTATTCAATTTCCAACCCCCTTCCTCAGGAGAGGGTTAGAAGGGGGAGGGTGGGTGGGTGTATATGAATTCCAGTCATCTAATCATGGCTTAATCTTTCTGATGACCAGCTCCTATACTGAAGCTATTCAGGAGTTCCCAGCCACCAGTCATCTCAAATTGACACTTTTACCATTCCAGGTATGGCAAGGGTTTTAGAAGCTGTGCCAGGAACCAAAGACAAAGACTAAATATTTTTTATTATACCACAGTCAGCCTTGCTACCAGGCTGCGAAAAGGTATTTGGAAATCACTTCAATAGATGACATCATTAAAGGGAAAGGGAGAACCCATGGAGAATTAGGATCACATGAATAAATGGAGACAAGGTAAAGGCTGACCCGAAGATTAGTTGCTATAGTCATAGATGAAAATAGGATATATCACAGCCCAGAAATTAGTCATAAACCCCCAAGAAGTACCAGTCTCAGTCTCCAATCTCTCCCTCCTTTCATGAGCTTATCCAGCTCCCTGCCCTGAAATGTGCTGTCAACATTACCTATCAACTATTTTTGTATTTTTGTGTGCTTACAACTGAACTAGTCTCACAATGGCTGTAGTAATTTCAGAAATCTCATCAGCAGAAAAGTTTAAATAGCTGGGAGTAAATGAAGCTCAGCTCTAAGATCCCATATCCAGCTGTGTGGTCTTATAGTGGCACACTTGGCCACGAAAGACCAATTAGTTCATGTGTATTAGCTGGATAATCTATATAATAAAGAGCCAGACTGGAAGTCAGTGCTGGGTCGCTACGGCACTGACTGCCTAGGGGGCTGTGGATCAGGTCTGGAGAGAGGCCTGCAGAGAGAGAGAGGCAGGGTCTGATCCATAGCCTCTGTGGCAGCCACTGATCAGAACTTGCCTCTCTTTCTCTCCTGGCCTGGCCAATACCTGTGCCCCCATTTCTCTCTAGGCCTCCACGGGGACTGCTGATCAGCTCCACCTTTCTGATCAGGCCCTGTTGATATGCCCAGAGACACTGACTGGCATAGAAACTGACCAATCAGAACCAAATCTGGGTCAACTGTGAGGAGCCAATGGCTGCCTAGGAGGCGGAGCTGCTGACGCTGACTGGCATAGAAACTGACCAATCAGAACCAAATTGGCCAGCAGAGGAGGGCAGTTGGGGGTGAGATTAGGTCTACAGGGGAGGGCAGTAAGGGGTGATCAGGCAGGCAGAGGCAGGCAGGGCAGTTAGGGGAGATCAGGCCAGCAGGGAAGGGCAGTTGGGGGCAATCAGGCCAGCAGGGGACAGCAGTTAGGGGCGAGATCAGGCCAGCTGGGGACAGCAGTTAGGGGTGAGACCAGGCCAGCAGGGGACAGCAGTTAGGGGCGAGATCAGGCCAGCAGGGGACAGCAGTTAGGGGCGAGATCAGGCCAGCAGGGGACAGCAGTTAGGGGTGAGATCAGGCCGGCAGGGGAGGGCAGTTGGGGGCGAGATCAGGCAGGCAGGCAGAGGCAGTTAGAGGCAACCAGGCAGGCAGGCAGAGAGGTTAGGGGCGACCAGGCAGGCAGGCAGGTGAGTGGTTAGGAGCCAGCGGTCCCAGATTGTGAGAGGGGTGTCCGACCGACCACCGGCAGTCGGACATTCCCCGAGGGGTCCCCGATTGGAGTGGGTGCAGGCTGGGCTGAGGGAAACCCTGCTCCGTGCACGAATTTCGTGCACCGGGCCTCTAGTACACAAATAAAAAACCAGCTATTAACCCAGTCTCTAAGATGACAGTCAATAAATGAGAAACTCAGATATGCCAAATATAAATTAGCACATACCAGCCAGCTTTCTAGTCCTATACTATTATTTATTTTATCCCAGTAAGATCGACTTCCAAGCCAAGGCTAAGTCAGTCCTAGTGAAAGGAAGAGAATAGCAGTATTTTTTAATATTTTTCAAAAGCCCTATGATGGTCTGAAAATTCAGATGGGAGAGCAACCCAAGATCTTAAAAACACATCACCTTCAAGTTAATGTCCATGCCCTGCCTGATAAAGATATTGGTAATAACCTCTTATGTTATGACTTCAATAACAGAAAAAAGTATTCAAGCACTTAATAAGAGGAGATAGAGCTTATATAAGGAACTCTACAGGACAAAAGCTACTAACTAGAGGAATTGACCAAGAAAACCTTGTTAACCAAGATTTTCTCTGATACATCTCTGATGTGTCACTTTTGTTACCAAGGATATTTAAACCTCACTTGTTCAGTATAATTTGAGCATCTCTCTTTCTCAATTTCCCTGCAATAGTAGGAAGAGAAGAGAATCCCCAAACAGGGAGAAAATAAGATAAATACAGGTAAAATAGTCTTGTTCTAAATTATCCTGAAAATGGGAAAAATATCTTACTTATTTCAGTACCTTAGCAATTAGTACACAATGTCGGACGACTCAATGCACTCACCAATACACATTTGAATTAATCAAGTCATGGAAACTGTGACACTATTTCCAAAACTCAATAAAGTACTATACAGTATACATTTCCTGCTACATTTGGGATACACCTTGTTTACTTAAGTTTGAGTAAATAAACTATTTACCAAAGAAACGTTTGGGTAGAGGACACAAAATGGGATCCTTAAGAGCAGACTTTCAGCTCATCCCTCCATCCATCCTATTAACCTAACTACCCACCCATGTATCTACTTATACAAAAGAATTCTAAGATATTTATATTGGAAATCGATCTAGTATTAAGAGAACCTATAAGATCAGAGAACTCCATAAAAATAGCTTGAGTGCTCTGGTTCTCCTACAGGCCATAAGATCATCAGGCACAACCACCACAGATTGGTGCTCAGAGATACACATACATTCTTTTCAGCTCAGGTGACACATAAATGTGTGTATCTTCAACATGCCACCAAAGTTGAACAGAGGAAACTAAGACAGTATTGGCTTCACAGATTTCTCACTTATTGAAATACTAGAGGCCTGGTGCACGAAATTCGTGCACAGGTAGGTTCCCTAGGCCTGGTTGGAGATCAGGGCCGATCAGGGCCTTCAGGCTACCAGCTGGGGCCTTCCTTTGTTCTGCGCCACCCCCTGGTGGTCAGCACACGTCATAGCAAGCGATGAAACTCCTGGTCGAATTCCCAAGGGGACACTGTGCATATTATTAGCCTTTTATATCTATAGCTCTCTTACTTAGCCAATCACAATCTAGTTAATGACAAGGGGCATCTATAGGAGCTGCCCCTCGTGATCAGTGCACTCCCACAGCGGGAGCACCGCTCAGCTGACTGACGGGTGCCAGACACAGGGCTCACTGTTGGCTGCCGCAGCCTGGTGACCACAGCAGAGCGGCAGCGAGCCTACCAAGCAGCGGCGGCTGCGTTTTGGCCCAATCCCTGCAGGCCACGCCGAGGGACCCCACCAGTGGCCTCTAGTTTTGTAATCATTTTACAGCCCCACAATAAAATATATAAAACCTAAATTTACATTCCTTTTCATCATAATCCCTTTAAAATACCTTAATCAGACATGATGACCTTAACAGTGTGATTAAGTACTTAACAAAAGCAAAGCTAGTAAGAGATGAAACAAAGAGGGAGAGATATCAGCCATTGAGCAACCTTTCAAGAGGTCAAATTTTACCTTCAATAAGAAAGCAATACTACCTTTACACCTTCTTCCGCCTCATCAATATCAAATATCTTTTTTGTTTTTTTCTTCTTTTTCTTTTGATTAAAGAAGTTCAAGTCATCTAGATCGTCAGAGGCATCTAAAAAGACATAATTAAGATTATTAATTAACAACAAACAGAAGGCAAAGCATCCAATTATGAGTTAAACCAACATTTCAGCTAGTAATTAGGAAAAACCTCATTAGAAAGCCATACTGAGAACATTTATGAATCTGATTATATCATGCCTCACTGTTCCCAATACAAAGTCAGGGTTTTAACACAATTTCCAAGGCCTCCCAGCTTTCTCTCTTCACTTCTGCTTACATCTCATCTCCCATCCTATATAATAAGAGGGATCTGCTAATTAGCCCGGATATGCTAATTAGTCATGACCAGTATGCAAACTGACCATCACTCCAACACACAAGATGGCCGCCCCCATGTGGCCACAAGATGGCCGGCAGGGGAGGGCAGTTGAGGGGGACCAGGCCTGCAGGGGAATAGTTAGGCGTCGATCAGGCTGGCAGAGGAGCGGTTAGGGGGTGATCAGGCAGGCAGGCAAAAGTGGTTAGGGGCAATCAGGTAGGCAGACAGGCAAGCGGTTGGGAGCCAGCAGTCCTGGATTATGAGATGGATGTCTGAGATTGGAGAGGGTGCAGGCTGGGCTGAGGGACACACACCCTCCCCCGTGCACGAATTTCGTGCACCAGGCCTCTAGTATCTTAATACCTGGTTCCAGCCCAAATGAAGTACTTCCACTTTAGCAATGCCTATGGTCTCTCACCTCCAACCCTTGCTATGGACCCTCCCACATAGCTCTTACAGGATCTTGTTAGAGTTTTTCCACCAAGAAGCCCTTTCTAAGCCTATCTATCCCTTTCAACCAATTGGGTGCCAAGGTGCTTCAATAGTATCTTCTGTCATTCCAAAGGAGGTACTTACTGGTTTGCTTATCTATCTCCCTCATAGATATTAAAGAGAGATACTAATAGATAATATGCCTTGTTCACCTATATCCTAGTGCCTAGCTCTACTTGTTATTCAATCAATCAATCAATCAATCAATCAATCAACAAAAGGCCTTATAAAGTATTTCACGTTCATCAAATGAAGCTACAACATGAATAAAATGAATTTTATCTACCATTACTTAGTAATACTGGGTTATGTTCAATAAATTTTCCATTTGTTCTACACTGTTGTACACTAGAAATATTTTAGGATCCCTCTGCTACAAAGTTTTCAAGGAGCTAATTATGAATTCATTTTGTCTTATTGCAAGAATGACTTACTTTCCAAGTTTGTTTTAATCATATACAAGATGCTTAGCACATGATAGAAGTTCACTGAATGTCAGTTCTCTCTATCTCCAGCAGTGTCTTATATTCAACAGACATGTTTTCTGAATCACTTATTTCTAATAATTAAATAGTATCTTTGTCAAAGCTCAAAAGTTAGTAACTAATGCTGGTGTCTAAACTGAAACACTTTTTAAATAATTTTAATTTCTTCTGTATGTTTTCAGACTTGCTAAGACACAAAACTACCTATCTTGGTCTTATTTCTTTCTGCCTACACTCAAATAGAATCACCATTAAAATATAAAAAGAGACCTGACAGGTTAGACTGGAAAATCAGTCCTGGAATGACAAGGTGTAGCCACTTGTGGATTCGGTAGGAATTTTCTTGGAACGAATCTACCAGAAATATGGCAAGGTCCAGTGCCCACAGACTGTTGATGGCCTCAACTTTCACTGGAATAGCCTTATCAAACTGAGGGGTCAATATATGCACAAAATCCAAAACACAATGGAAGAGAAACAGGCCTTTCAGCAAAAAAGTGCCTCTCTCACATCTACCACTCACCTTTTTTCCTATTGTCCTCCTCATCAGCCTCTACATCTTTGTCCTCAGTGGGCTCTGGCTCCACTTCTTTTGTTTCTGAGGGTTGAGTTTCTTCGGTCTGGGCATCCCCTTCCTCATCTAACATAAAAGGCTTCTTCTTCTTCTTTTTCTTCTTGCTCATAGTAGGATCAAAAATCATCTGTTTAAAAGACAATAAAAAAGGGACCAAGTGATTGTTTTCACACTCCAACTATGCTGTATTCTCAAAAGACATATGCTTAAAAGTAAGAGTATTTCCCTCTGGTGCAACGTGTTTCTCAGTGGTCAGAGCATCGGCCCAGGCACTGAAAGGTCACGGGTTTGATTTGCAGTCAGGATGCATGCAGGAGGCAACCAAGTGATGTGCCTCTCTCACATCGATGTTTCTCTCTCCACCCATCCATTCCACTCTCTAAAAAACAATGGGAAAAATATCCTTGGGTGAGGAGTAACAACAACAAAAAAGTAAGAGTATTTGCTGCACTCAAGTACCAAAAAAACAGAATTAAAAACAAGGCCACCCAACTCTCCTTATACTATTAAACATGGAATGATAGTGGAGGGGGGTGTTCCTTAAACTTGTGCACTGCCTTTCAATTTGTAAATTACCACAAGATACAGCAATTTCACTTATAGTTTCATGAACAAATGTGGAGACTTTATGATGAATTAATCATGGAATGTAGGGAAGGGACCTTAGTAATTAATAACCTTTGCTATACCCCTGACTTTGTGGATGAGAAAACCAATACCTAGGTAAATTATACATGTTTATTTAAGGTTGGTAACCTGGGGTTACTACACCAGAAGACTTGACTTATAAAAAATTTTTTTTAATATTATCCTTAAGTTCAGACAAACCTTTAAGGAAATCCACCAGCAACCCTTCACATAGCAAATCTGTATCTGAGTAAGAGAAACTTCTATATAACCTTTTACTCTGCTTTTTGTTTCTGAACATTAAAAGTTTTCTTGGGTTATTTTTATCTGATATCCATTAGAGAATAAGCGAAACATTAATTTATATCTTGTTGTAGACTGTACTGATCACTTGGGGAAAAAATACAGATAAAGTATTTTAGACATAACAGTTTAAACAACATATAGGGTAGACTCCAGTACAGTGGAAAGAGTGAGGTCACTGACGTCAAACAGAATTGGATTCAAATACCAAGTATTTTTTTTCTAAGCTCCTCACCAATTTTTGTCCAAATTCTATCAAGCTTAAATTCAGCATTTTCCCCAACGAACTGCTATGACAGTACAGTGAAGTGTCTGGTGCCCAACTGACTAAATTCAAGTTCTGACTCTGGCTCTTACTTGTATTACCCCAGGTAAGTTCCTGCCTTCTCCATGACCGATCGAGCATCAAACCCGCAACCCAGGTACATCGCCTTGACCGAGAATCGAACCTGCGACCCATCGGTGCACTGGCTGACACTCTAACCATGGAACCACACCAGCCAGGGCTTAAATTTCTTTATGTCCTAAGTACATTAAGGAAACTGAGCTACACTGAAACCAAACTGTGGTCTATAATAAAGTAGGGTTGGTATAGTCCTCACTCGATAGAGAAGGATCTGCAAGATATTGTGGAAACCTATATAGCCCCATCTCAGTTATCCTCTCCTATCTTAAGAAGGACCTAACTGTGTAAATGAGTAATTCTGAAATGCATTCAGTCTGAAGAACTTAATTTGGCAAACTTAAAGAAGAACCAGGAGGAAGGAGTTCCCCACTGCTGACCTACTAAGCCACAGGTCACCCTACATGGAATGTCCAAGGAGGTAGCTACAGTTCATACGCACTCCTGAGATAAGGACATTTGGCAAAAGGATCTAGGTACTATAAGTTTGGTTGTCTTGCAGGGCTTACAATTCATTTATTGCTTTTTTTCCCAAGTAGCAACTACCCTGGAATAATAATTACATTTATTATTACTCAGCATGACAGACCAAAGATGGGAGGGGTCCTGAAATCAAAAGAAGACAGCCTCACAAGTGCCTTATCCTCTGAAAAACATTCGTATTTAACCTACAGGTTAACAGTTTATTTGTAGCCTTGTAAAGGGTATGAAACATGCAGGAATTATACTACACTGAAATAATTAATATCTCTCTTAATTACTGACTCTGGATACTTACGACACACTCATCCCCTCATTTTATTCACACCACCTCTGAGTTAAAAATAAGGAAACCAGGGATCCCAAAGCAGTGCCCAAAGCAGACCTCCCCCAAACCACAAGGCCATGTTGGTCTTGACTAAAAAATTGCTTTTTAAGACTTAAAAGCAATTTAAGACTGTTGTTATCTCTAGGTGAAAGGATTCTAGATTTTTATTTCTCTTTGTATTCTTCTGCATTCTGTACACTTAGTACAACACACATTCCATTTTTAAATCAGAAACTTCTTTAGCTTAAAGCTTCTTTTGTAAACTACCTTACTGTGTTGTATGAAAACCCAATGTTCTGACACTTAGTGAACAGGATCTAGTAATAAGCAATCTTAACTATTGACAGCACTTTTAAAAAATTGGTCTGGAAAATAACGAATGCCTACAGGTTTGAGGATTTTTCCTTACAGGCATCACCCATATTTCTCAAATACAGCTTTTTAAAGGTCTTGGTTCCACTAGGTTAAAAAAGGCTATGTTGTGGTGAATTCTGGCTTAATTATCAGATATAAAAAGAAATGTGTACAGCCCTGGCCGGGTTGCTCAGTTGGTTAGAGGATCATTCCTGAGCCAAGATTGTGGATTCGAACCCCTGGTCAGGGCACATACGAGAATCAACCAATGAATGCATAGATAAGTGGGACAACAAACTGATGTTTCTCTCTCTTCCCTCCTTTCTCTAAAATAAAAAAGAACCGTGTACAGCTTACTTTCATTGTTTCCATGTAGAAATTTTTGCTTGTCTGTAAAGTAGTCAGAAATTAAGGATTGGCCTAAGAATACTTTTCTAGTCAATAATACTGGAGAAACCAGAACCTTCACACCCCTCCAGAGTGGAAATCAAAGGCTGGTTCTAGTCCCACTAACTTGCTATGTGATCTTGGGCAAGTTAACCTCCCTGAACCCTAGCTTCCTGTCTATAAAATGAAGTTGGACTGGTAGGCCTAAAAAGTGCCAAGCTACTTAATATTTTATGGGCTTCCAAAAGTTCTCTACGGGAATGCTGGTTCTGCCATATTCCACTTCCTTCAAAACCTGATCCCACTGCTAAAACTGAATCCTCCAGTACCACAAATCTCTCTGTTGATGGCTCTTTCTATCTCCTGTAGAAACTAGTTGATCTCTTACCTCCTCTGTATCACTTGTGAGCACTTTACCATCGAAACCACACAAACAGCACCCCACAGTACTTTGTACTACATAAGTGCTTTATTTTTAAAGGTTATGAAAAGCTTAGAAAATACGTAGAAAAAACAAACGTGAAACACTGCCACTCTCAGAACTTTTGAAATACAGCAGCCCAGAGCAATGTCTACCATGACCTCCAAGCAAGAACCATCTACTACCTTCAGACTCTCAGTTTCTCCTAAGAGAGCAAGAGCCTCCTCCCGGTCACCTAGATGTAGGCAATATTACATAGATCTGGAATTCTACTACTGGCTCAGCCACTTACTCTTTGATCATGGGCATGATACCACACTCAAAGCCTCAGTTTTCTCATCCATAAAATGGGGCTAACAGTAATACTTATCTTACAGGATTACTGTGGAAGTCAAATGAGGGATTGGAGTCCCCTCCAGAATAAATCCAGAATTCCTTAATTTGGTCTTCAAACCCCTCATGAACTGGCCACTAACACATTTCAAGGGATTAACGCTAACCAAATCAGAGGATAGTCTACCTCCCGTGAGCCCTCTTACTTGCCGTCTTAACCGCCCGCTCACCCTAAGATCAGCCTTTCCATCACAAGAGGAAATGCTAAGGGTCGTTCAAGGGCTACCTCCGAAGCCAGCGCTCCAAAAAGCCTCGGGTTTTTCCTCTTCCTTCTCTCCAAGGCCCTCTGGACCAAGCACTCGAATGTTGACAGAAGTGAATTACAAAGTCAAGAGCCCTTTATTGTGGTGGGGAGAGCTGGCCGGGAAGCGGTAGCTCTCCCCCCAGGGTTAACGAATACCTACTGACAACACCTAAAATCCAATTTCATTTTAAGCCGTTTGATTTCACTTGAACTGGGATAGATTTGGCCAGAAGGGATTTGAGGATATTTGCTGAGGTCCAAGCACGAGGGTAGAAAAAGGCCCGGCCAGCTTCGCAGCCCGGACTTCCCGCTCTCGTCGCTGTGAACTCCGTGAAGGAAAACTCAGGGACTCCACCTCAAAACTTTCCAAAGTTACGCACTTTTTGAGGCTGAAGCATTTTGACCTCTCATCCTATCTCCCCTACCCCCTGGACTTTTCAAGAAATAGTGCTCGAGATGAGAACGGCGGATACCGACCAGGAAAAGCCAGCCTGCAAAAGTTTTCAACGAGGGCGCTCCGCCGGACCTCAGGGAGGCTCCCCTCGCCACCCCCGGCGCCCGGCGAGGAGTGTAGGAGCCGCAGTGTCAAATCGAGAGGAATGCAGGGGTCGCCAGCCCCAATCTCGTTCAGTTGGGACATTAACCGGCATTCAAGCCCCATTCTAGGTGGGCGACTCAATATACCCTCCATTCCGGAAAAGCCGGCTTCAGCACCGCCGCCCTGAGGAGAGCAGGACGCGGCTAAGCCCGCGGCTCCGGAGTTCCCGCTGGCTCTACTGCTCCGGGCCGCCTAGGCCCGGCTGTCCCACATGGCGGCCGGCGCTAGGCCGCAGACCCGGTCTCCCACACGGGGATGGGTTCGGCTCCCCGCCTCAGTCCCCAGCCCTAACGCCAGGGTTAGGCCCTCACCTCGTCTCCGGACATGGCTGCGGCTCGAGTAGGATCCGCACGGACGAGAAGTCGAACAGGTTAGCCCCAGGCCTCAGCCGCGGTAGAGATCTCACCAACACCTCTCCTACAACCGCACTAGGCTCTTGCATCAGCGAAAGGGATGATACCCCGCCCTCGACTCCCAAGCGTTGAAAATGCGCCTGCGCAGAGCCCGTCACGGCGCAGGCGCGCGAAGGAGCTGCCCTAACGCGCTGTCTGGCGCGAGTTACGCGGCGACGCCGCATCTCGAGGCACGCCGGGACTTGTAGTCCTTTTAGAGGAGGCGGGCAATTGCGCGGCGGCCTCGCAGCGACCCCTGCGTGTGCGTGACGTCTGAGGAAGACTTCCGGGAAGGTTCGGTTTCGCTGTGGTGACTTTTCCTTCAAATCCTTTCGCGGAGTAGAGCGTCTGCTTGTACAGTGAATTCAGGGCCATTTCTCCTGGGTTAGGGTGAGGGGTAAAACAGTCATGTGGACCCCTTGGGGCTTTAATTTTCCTATTACCTGTACCGTGCCCCTTTGGGGTGTTTTAGTGTTTGAGGAACTCTAAATTGGAGCTGGAGGTCACCTCACGAGGGGGTTTTACTTCTTGGGAAATTTAACCTAACATGTTGGATTTCAACTTGGGAGGTCGCAAACCAAAGAGGAAAGACGTACCCAGAGGAGAAAAGGCTGGCCAGAGGCGGACGGTCGGGAACCTCAAACACTTGTTTATGAAGTCTCTGCATGAACGCGCCGGGTGCAGCACGAAGATCCCTTGAGGCATAGTAGCACCTGCCCTTTAGGGAGCTCTCGCTGTGTTAATGCCCTCCACCCACAGACCGCCGCGAACGCCCCTATAGTTGAACAAGGTTGGGCTTGTTTCCTGCAAGGGGAGACAGCATGAGGAACAGCGGGCATCTCATAAAGAGGGCGCTGAGCACTAGCCAGATTGGGTCAGTGGTTAGAGCGTGGCCTGCGTCCCAGAGGGTCCCGGGTTTGATTCCGGTCAAGGGCTGGTACCTCGGTTGCAGGCTCTTCCCCAGGCCGGAGGCAACCAATCTATGCGTTTCTCTCACATAAATGTTTCTCTGTCTCTCAATGGAAAAATATCCCTCAGGTGAGGATTAACAAACAGAACTTAAAAAAAAAAAAGGGGGGGGGGGGG